CACAATGAAATATTCTGGAATTCCAATTCTTTCTCAATATTATCCATAGCTTGTTATGTTCCATATAGTTGAATGCCTTTACATAATCAACAAAGCACAAGTAAACATCTTTCTGGTATTCTTTGCTTTCCACCAAGATCCATCTGATTTTAGTAATAACATTCCTGTTCTGCATCCTCTTCATTCATGAAGAAAGCAAAAGGTCATTAAAAAGATAGGAAAGAAAGGATCAAATTAGATGTCAGAAAAGACACTGCACTTTGCTCTTAATTGTAGAGTATCTAAGGCAAATGGAAGAAATGATAATGTCAAAGAGCTGAATAGAATATTTCGAAGGGCAGCTTGAGAAGACAAGTAAAATATTATAATAAAATGTGTAAAAATCTAGAGTTAGAAAATAAAAAAGGAAAAAAAACATGCTTAGCATTTCTAAACTGAAAGAAAAAATCTTCAAACCTGGAGTTGCAATATTGAAAGTTTCTATAGACAACATATTGAATGATGCTGGAAACTTCAAAAGAAGATGAAGGAATATACAGTCACTGTAACCAAAGAGCTAGTTGATATTCCACCACTTCAGTAGGTAGCCTATGAACAAGAACCAATGATCCTGAAGGAAGTTCAAGTTGAACCGAAAGAATTAGCCAAAAACAAGGCTTGAGAAATGATGGAATACCAATTGAGACATTTCAACAAGCTGACGAAGCACTGGAATCACCCACACATCTATGACAGGGGATTTTGAAGGCAGCTACTTGGCCAACTAACTGGCAGTGATCCATATTTGTACCCATTCCAAAGAAAGAGGATCCAACAGAATGCTCAGATTACAGAGTTGTATCATCACTATCACATACAAATGAAAGTTTGGTGAAGATCATCCAACAACAGTTGCCGCAGTGCATTGACAGGGAGCTGCTAGGGGTTCAGACTGGATTCAGAAGAGGACATGGGACCTGGGATATTTTTGCTGATATGAGATGGATGTTGGCTGAAAGTAGAGAATACCAGAAAGAGGTATACTCGTGTTTTATTAACTATTCATTTTGCTCACGAGGAAGCTGTATATGGATCAAGAGGCAACTGTGTGAACAGAAGAAAGGACTCTCATTCATTTTTTTTTTTTAGGTGCCTAGTCACTTTATTGTCAATAGCTACCCTGGCAGACAAAGCACTGCCAGCCCAGCACCACCCCCAGCAAAGGCTGCAGCTCACACAGTGTGACCCCTAAGGTGGTACTGGCTGGTTCTTGGAAGTTGGTCATCAAACCTTTCCTCCCAGCCTGCTTCACCTGGAACCTGTTCAGCATCATAGCAGCATGCAAGCCTCCACTACCACACACCTGGGGCACCACCTGGGCTCCGAACCCAGGCCTTGCACACGGAGGGAGAAATTTCTCCCGCTAAGCCAAGTGGCTGCAATGTCAACATCCGGTAGCCCTCACTATCCCACAGGGCCCACCCTGGCTAGTTCACCCCAGCTGTCAGAAATGGGAGTGCAATCGAACCCCAGCCCATGGTTCTGGGCCCGGCACACAGTCTTGTGGCAACACGCCCCTCTCCCCAGAGCAGGGAAAGTTTGAGTCTTCCAAGTTCCAACAGGACAGGCAGTTTAACAGTGAAGACAGAACTTATGGGACTGATTTCCAGTTTGTTAGGTCTTAACTGTAAGACCTTGTATCTGATTCCTGATCGATAAAATGGGAGATAATAATAGTTCCACCCTCTCAAGCAAGATGAAGATGAAATAGCAGGCACTCAGAACAGCATCTGGCTCATATTATTATAGAAAGCTCACTCTTAGAAGACTGAATAACAGCGACACTTTCTTATAACTTGCAGAAAATGCAAAGTAGATTAATCTCATCTTTAGTTTTCATAACCATAATTGTACATTAAAGTTCTTAATTTTACACCTTTTAAATGTGGCATAAGTAAGTCAATACAACATAAAAATAATGTCAACCAGTCAACCAACAAGCAATATAGTGTTACTACTATGTGTTGATTTCTTTCAATGTAAAAAAATTTTTTTAATCATTTTATTGGAGGCTCACACAACTCTTATCACAATCCATACATACATCCATTGTATCAAGCATATTTGTACATTTGTTGCCATCATCATTTTCAAAGCATTTTGTTTCTTCTTGAGCCCTTGGTA